GTGCGTCCGAGGGCGTCACGGGGTTTCCCCCGGTTGTGTGTGTCCGAGGGCATCAGGGGTTTCCCCCGGTGCGTGCATCCGAGGGCGTCAGGGGTTTCCCCCAGTTGTGTGCGTCCGAGGGCGTCACGGGGTTTCCCCCGGTTGTGTGTGTCCGAGGGCGTCAGGGGGTTTCCCCCAGTGCGTGCATCCGAGGGCGTCAGGGGGTTTCCCCCGGTGCGTGCATCCGAGGGCGTCAGGGGGTTTCCCCCAGTGTGTGCATCCGAGGGCGTCACGGGGTTTCCCCCGGTTGTGTGTGTCCGAGGGCGTCACGGGGTTTCCCCCGGTTGTGTGTGTCCGAGGGCGTCAGGGGTTTCCCCCGGTGCGTGCGTCCGAGGGCGTCACGGGGTTTCCCCCGGTTGTGTGCGTCCGAGGGCGTCACGGGGTTTCCCCGGTGCGTGCGTCCGAGGGCGTCAGGGGTTTCCCCCGGTTGTGTGCGTCCGAGGGCGTCAGGGGTTTCACCTTGTGCTTACAGTCAAGGACAGCTTTAGGCAACAATCCACCATTCATTTATCAAAAGGAATGTTTCTCTACTTGACAGCTGGAGGGGTGCCCCTAGATTTGTTTATTAAAGTTCTCATATTGAACCTTAATAAACAAAAGGAGGGGGTTAAAAACTTGAAATCCCTTTAAATTTAACACTTGATGAAGTAAAAAATCAGAATTTATTGACCTGCAAGGTAATGAAAATATTTTTCAAGGAAAACTAGCTGAAGACAAGTTAAGTTGATTTATGGAAAATACCACAATAATTAGTTAAAGCTACAATAAAATTTATTATATATTTGCTATTAACTATAACGTTAATTGTAAAATTAGAAAGTGAAGTAATGAAAGTACTATCTTCTTTTAACAAAGAAATCAATTTCAAAGACTTCATTGAAATGATACCTAAAGATTTTCACAAGGTCCCTTCCAATTTAAGAATAAAAGAAACCTGGAAAAGAATCAGATTTTCCCTTGAAAGCAAAGTCTAATGAAATAATGAAAGTTATTTTAGCATGGGAGGCACATAAATCCATTTAGGATGTGGTTGGTGCTCAATAAATAATGTTGACTGATCAAACAAATTTTGTTTTGGATGTATCTTCCTCCAGATTGTTAGACTTATGTAGCATCCTTGCTAATGGTCTGTTAGCAGGGTCTGTCGTGGCCCCGAGGAGTGAATGCAGGGCCTTGCTTGGCTCTGCACTGCATCCCCAGTGTCCCCCAGCTCAGGGGCAGGATCACGCTAGGACCCTGAATTGCACAGGCTAGACTCGGCTGTGACCCTCTCGCCTCAGACCCCTACAGTGCTTGCATTATAAGCGTGTGCCCTCACTTCGCAGTAAGCCTTTTAATATCAACATTTAATCTGTACTCCGAATCGGGTACATCTGTGTCCCAGAAAAGTGCTTGTACTGACTTCAATATGGCACCTGACACTTAAGCTAGACCGAGCAGCTGATGCGTACTGAGCACAGCCCGTGCTTGTCATCTTCACTTGACACCTGTGAGAAGCCCAACACGCTCTTCTGGAGAAAGAGGACATAGGCAAGTGCACTTAAAATGCCTTTCAGTCTCAGCACGTTCTCAGCATCTTGGATTACAGCATGAGTTCTTTCTAGGAATATCTGCAAATAGACAGATTTTAAAGCGGAACTGCAGGATACAAGTTATATTTCAAGAGCATTTCCACGTCAATAAATATAGATCAGTGTTATTTTTTAAGTGCTAGCATAAATTCCCAGCATACAGAGAACAGTGCCCTTTAACCAATTCTTTTTCACTAAGTAATTGGACTTAAAATAAATACAACCTGTCATCTTATCTTAAAGTAGCTATTCTGAGCCCAGATCCTCACACCAGGAGCCTGCCCCACCTCCCAGTCACCACCCAGAAGGCAGCTCAGCGCAGAAGCAGAGCTGGACTCGGGCTCAGTGTTGTCGTTCTCTTCTTCCTGCTGCGTCGATGCCCCAGACAGACACCACTCGAATGTGCTTAGGTCTGTCTTGCTGGGGGAAGATATGAGGATTTTGGATGTTCTCGTAATACACACAAGACAGCATGTGGCACCTCCTAAGTTGGTGCTACTTAGTGCACTTGTGGCAGTTCACTGTTATATTTGGATTGTGAGATGTTACTAAAACTAATCTGAAGCACATGAGGTGTTACTGCCCCACTGAGTTGTCTCCCCGATGTACCATCACGTGCCCACTTACTCCTCCTAAAAACATATTTCATAGAAAATGATTGCATCATGAGTTAAGATGAATGAAGTAAGTATCATTTACCAACTGTGCTCTGCATGTGTAGGCCTTTCCCTGGGCATTTTCCAGGAATTATCTCATAAGCGCCCCACAATAATCCAGTGCCAGACCCCAATTGTATTCCCACTTAAAGGATGAGGAAATGGAGTATTCTGAGGACGAGGAGAAGCGGTGGGCAGGCTGCCCTGCTCGCCTCACGCTGGGCCTTTGGCAGCCCAGAGCGGTGGCGCGTCTGTGTCACTGCGCTGACTCAGAGTGCTTGTGGGCAACAGGAGCATTAACATGTACTTTTCTCTGCAGCCTATTAGCAGACATAAGAAATTTTGCTAAAAATTGGGAACAGTGGGTAGTTTCATCCTTGGAAAATTTGCCGGAAGCCCTCACTAACAAGAAAATACCCATCGTGCGGAGATTTGTGTCTTCCCTGAAACGACAGACGTCTTTCTTACATCTGGCTCAGGTATGTGGAGAGTATTTAAGCTGAGAATGTTTATTACCAAATCAAAAATAAACCTGATACTGACCAGGGTGAGGAACTCTCACAGATAGAAGGAAGTCAGGTAGGAAACAGCACAGCACATGTGGGATTTAGGGTGAGGAGCAGAACTGAAGCAGGGCGCTCTGGGACAGCTGAGGAAGCTGCAGTCACTTCTGCCGCTAAGATCACTGTGTGGAGGTGAGCTGCCTGCTTCTGCTAGTACCGTGCAGGGCTCACGCTAGGGAATAGGAAGCCGGACCGGGCTGTGCGGAAATGCTCTGCTCTGTTTTCAACCTTTCTCTTATTCAAAGTTCTTTCAAAATAAAAATTAAAAAAAATCTCAGTTCTATAAAAATGTAAAACATTTATTTACTGAATACAACTTGGGGCACGAGCATTAAGACTGTGAGGAGGGCACACTCGTGGCGCGTGGTGCTGGCAAGCCCGCAGGCTGGGGTGCCTTGGGGTGAGGTCGGCTCTCGCGGGGGACCAGCAGCCCTGGAGTGAGGGATCACGTGGCGTGCTCAGTACATTTCGGCCTCTCCAGATGATTACTTGTTTTATAAGTGTTTAGTCCCTAAATTCTAAAACCATAAGCTAGGAATATTTCTATACTATATATATATATATTTGATCTTTATTTTGTGGCACTAGCCAAAATGGACTAATTTTCATTTTCTAAACTCCAAAATGAATTTTCAAACTGTTAATAAAGATGATCATGAATCTTATTTGCTGCCTTTAATTTTCCCCAAGAGACTGTTTTCCTCGAAGTAAAGGCTTTCCTCTGGATACATACACTGTGCCATGATTCAGGGTAGCGTGGTTTTTGCTTTCTCTGTGCAGATTGCCAGGCCAGCTCTCTTCGACCAGCATGTTGTGAATTCTATGGTGTCTGATATTGAAAAGGTTGACTTGAGTAGCATTGGCTCGCAAGCTCTTCTTACCATCCCGGGCAGTGCAGACACTGACTCTGACATCTACAGTGAGCGTAAGTCCATTCTCCTCACTAAGGGTGAGTTTTCTGCCTTTGGCACTGGACAGCTCTTCTGCCCTGCCTCACTTCCCTGCCTTCTGCCCACTGCGGACCAGAGCTGACCTCCCACAGAGAAAGAAGGCAGTCGCCAGACACTGCCAGATGTCCCTAGGTCGGAAGAGCAGATCTGTTTGAGAAACTCTGTTTGTAGAAGCATTTTTAACTAAAAAATATTGTTCTCTGTTTAAAAACATTTGTACTTATTGGGGAAAACTTGAAAAGGATAAAAAATATTAAATCAAAAACCCCTATGAGCCCATTTCCTGGAAATAGCCAGAATAGAAATAATGAACAAACCACTGACCCACTCTAGGTCTTGTGGCTTTTCTTCCTGGTCTGCATCAAGCACACACACGTGCACACATGCCGCCCTGGGCTTCTTGCAGTGTGTCCTGTGCACCCAAACGACACCTTGAGGTGAGCTGTCGGCGGCGGAGGCTCTCCGTGGGCTGGGCTGTTGGGCAGGTTGCGGAGTCCTGCCATAACCAGACAGCTAGGCGTGGCTTCCAAGGACAGCACCCCACAAGTGTGCTCCCCTCTTTCTGAACACCCAAAACATCGGCTGCTCTGCAGCTCTGCGCACAGTGGCCTACTTGTTCTGCATGGACCGCCCAGCCTCTCTTTTTGTTTCTTAATATACAACCTATTACCTTAAAAGAGTCAATAAACCTCAAAGTCTTCAAAAAAGTGATAATCCAAAACTGCCCTTTTATATTTTATGATAGAGACTTATTCAGGTAATGGCTTAAGCCTGCAGTGCAGAATTTAATTTGCTAAAGATAAGAGATCTTTCAGAAAGCAGGAAGTGAACACAGTCTGCTTCATCGATTGGCTGTCAGCTGATTAAAATGCATAATAAACTATCAGTGTACTCTAGTGTATATAGGGATATATATCCTATATTTCAATATATATCAAGGTAGATGCACTTAGAGTTACAATTTGAAGAGCATAATATTAAGCATTTTCTGTTTTGTACTGTCAATAATTCATAGTTGTACATTTTTGCTTGGGTTCAAAGTGGGTGCAATACTCTGCTCTCTCCCCTCCCCTTGGGATATGGCAGGTGATTCCATCACTGTGTTCCAAGAACTGAAGGACCTCCTGAAGAAGAACGCCACGGTGGAGGCCTTCATCGAATGGCTGGACTCTGTGGTGGAACAGAGAGTGATTAAGGTACCTTTTCATGACAGTTCAGAAGGTAAACTTTTGGTTCAGAGTTAATGCTATAAGGCCAGGGATATAGTTCAGTGGCGTAAGCACCTGCCTGGTAAGTGCAAGGCCCTGAGTTTGATCGCTGGTGAAAAAAGAAAAAAAGAAAGAGTACATGCTACATTGGTCATGATTTCTTGCCTGCTGTGCGAAAGGTGGATGGGTATGTCTATAAATGCTTTGGAAATACTTCGTAGCCTTACAAATAAGACAGCCCACATATCAAACTAGCACTATGAACAGTCTGAGAGTATGGGTATGGAGTTTATTTTGTTTTTTATTTCTTAAACCAGAGCTACAAGGTACTGCTCCTTCCAGTAAAGTTCCTTTCAACACAGTCACACCCGAGCAACACTTTGATCTTTCTGTTCTAAGTTCTACCTAAAAAATTAAAAGATACAAATATTTTGTAAATTATTTCATTTGTTTAGTAAGAATAAATGAAGAAACAAAGCTATAGGGAATAAACCCTGTTACCCTTAAAGTGACAACAAAGAGAAACTAAAATTCATGCTCTTTGACAGGTCATTTTATTTGGCCACACAAACTGTGCGCCATCTGTTTTCAGTCCGACTACTTTATGCTTTAGCATAGGATGCATGTAGAAATTACACGACAGATTTTATAGTTTCATTTTGTTCCTTTATTTTTAGACCAGCAAACAAAATGGAAGATCATTTAAAAAGAGAGCTCAAGACTTTCTGCTGAAGTGGAGCTTTTTTGGAGCTCGAGTGATGCATAATCTCACCTTGAACAACGCGTCAAGTTTCGGTATCTTATGTGCTTTATGAAAATCTTCTCATGCAAATTTTATCATTCTTCCTTGGTCAATCATCCATGCATTTTAAAGCATATTACATCATTATTTCTCCAGCTGCATCTGAATATTCGGCCAGCAGAAAAGAGTAGCTATGAGCCTGGGGCTTAGAATTAGACAGCACGGGGGATAAATCCTAGCACTGCTTCTTTCTATCTGTGGCTTTACCCAAGCCAGTCTGGTGAGATTATTCTCACCCTAAAATTGGGTAGTCCTTTAATGAGAAGGGTGTAAGAACATACTGCCTACCATTCAGTATATGTTGAATGACTAGCACCCATTGTTCCATTCCATTAGTACTTGAATAAATTTTCTTTGCCAAACAAGCAAACAAACTTAAGGCAATGTTTTCCAAAGTTCTTACTGTAATATGGAAAACGTCTTCTTCTTTTCCTGGTACCCATGTAGTTTCACCCCAGGAATCAAAAATCAGATTTGAATGTTCATTCTGATAAGTTTCTGGACCATCTTTTCTTATCTGTATGTCTTCTAAAATTGATTGGTCAAATTAACTATTCCAAAAATTGAATACCTCTTTTTCTAAATTTTTTGTAGTTTGTAGTTATAATGCTAAATTTTAAGGCAAAAACTCTGCATTTAATAATTACATTTCAATAAATCTTCATGTTAATGAAGAACTTACAATTATTTTTTAATAATTTTATTAGAAACAAATAGCAATGAGACAGTTTCAAAACCGATTAGTAGGACAGTTTCGATAATTAATACGTTGCATATTGTTGTCTTCTTAAGTGGTTATTCATAGTACAAGATGCAAACATGATATCCTGTCCGAACACTTTTTTTTTTTCCAAACACTTTTGGTACAAATCTTTCTTTTCATTTGTATTAAGAGAAAGTAGTCATATATCTATACTAACTATTTTGCATATACAGATAAAAAGTGGCCCTTTATTTGTAGCCCCTTTTTTTGTTTAGTTTTGTCAGAGAAGGGTATTCCATTGCCACTTACATATTGTAGGTGTGTGAACTCAAAAAAATAATCCAATATAGTCCAGTAGTCCAAAATAGTAGTGGGTTATCCATCAGACTGGCAATGCCAGAAGTTGTTGACTTGAGCCTTTTACAGCTCAGCATATTAATATAGCTTTACTTTTTATACTTCATTTTTACACTTTTGTGCTGGATGGTTTAGACCAATAGAAAGCAAGACCTATATAACAAGAAATGTAACTTTTATATCTGACAAGGTCAGTCAAATCCCCTCAGGATTTTATTTTTTATTTATTTTTCCCCCCTCAGGATTTACCCTGAAACCCTGTACTGCAGTTTGTAGATCCTTTGTCAGTGTCAGCCACGTGGATGAGTCATGGTCATTACTTGACCAATTTAAGAGCTTACAATTAGTTACATTTTCTTTAATGTTCACTGGAATTGAATAAAATCAATAGACTTATATTGAGGGTCAAACAAAATATATTGAATTTACTATTTGAAATATACTTGCCAATGTTTGAAGTTTCTTAAAATATATAGCACTGAAATGACTTTATTATGAAAGAAGAATTTTGTTGAGAAATTTGTGGAATAGTTAAAAGAAGTTTCAAGATTTTTACCATATCTTTCACATGAAAATTAGTCTTTTGCTTTTCGATTTTTAACTCCAAGAGTATTTGTTTCAACCTAGAAAGGCATCTGACAATACCGTCCAGACCATTTGCCATTGTCTAATTGTTTAGTACAAGCAAACAGAGTGGAGCAGAGCAGGGCTCACTCTCCCCAGGCCGGAGCTTATCACACTCCAGTGTTCGCCCTCTTAAAGAGCACAAAGTGCGTCTCACTTTCATCTGTGGTTTCCTTTGATGTAATTAGTGGCCAGAGAGTTGGCAGGACAGTACACAGAGGAGCTGGGCAGGCGGCACACAGAGATTAGGGGCCTCAGTGAAGCATGTTGGTCTTAGCAGGTCATTTAAAGTCCAACAAGTATTTGTTTATTTCAGTTCTCCTTGTAAAGTGTGGCGAGATGGTCACAAAGATAATCTGGTGTCTCCCCTCTCCTCCCTGCACTGCTCCTCCACTTCAACGTCCTCTCTCCTCTCTCCGTCCATGAACAAGGCTCTTTTCATCTGATCCGAATGCTTCTGGATGAATACATTCTCCTGGCCATGGAGACTCAGTTTAACAATGACAAAGAGCAAGAATTACAGAATTTATTAGACAAATATATGAAGAATTCAGGTAACATAAAATAAGAATTATGTTTTCCATATTTTTGTTGAAGCTTAAGTCCAAGAAGTTGTATAAGTGGGTTTATAGTAACTGCAAATTTCCCTTCAAATATGTGGCCGTTGGCATCATACACTGACACTAACAGAATACCTTCCCTCTGTTTATCAGTAGAGTAGTCAGAGGCCTTTACTGGAAACTTGAGGGTTACAAAATTGATTTTTAACTTCAGAGAATTTAGATGCAGTGAGAGAAATGAGTAAAATGACTGGGAAGCACAAACTGTAGTTCAAGGTGATACATGCAGTACAGTGTGCTTACGGTGAGCAGCTTCACAGCCGCACAGAGCAGGACAGCCGCTGACTGGGGGGAACACTCGTACTGTCAAGGCTGCTCCAGAGTGGAGTGTGCAGCGCCCTTGGGCCACACTGTTGTGAGCCCAGTGCCGTGGCCAGGACCACAGCTCTGCGCCTCCTCTGCCACAGGAAGCGTTGCTTAGGGATTTCCAGATTAGTCACTCTACCAGTCAATGAGGAATATGAGAATAATCCCAGCTTTCTTGCTTCGAAAACTCTTTCCAGATGCAAGTAAAGCCACCTTCTCTGCTTCCCCGAGCTCCTGCTTCCTGGCTAACCGCAATAAAGGGAGCTCAGTGTCCAGTGAGGCAGTGAAGAATGAAAGCCACGTGGCAACAGCCTGCCTCCCTCTGCCCGCTGGCCAGGCTGCAGGCCTGGGCCCTGCCTCGCATGCCTTCCCTGCTGGGGGCCCAGAGAGCATGCAGCTCACAGGTCAGCACAGCCCTCGGCTGCTCTTTCATTATTCTTAAGCACCTAGCCCCAAAGAAGAGTTATTTTAACAAATTTATAATATTTTATAAGATTTATAATGTTTAGTTCAAATTGCATAAAATTTAAATATCGTAAATCTTAGAATACTTTTGTGATTTTTTTTCAGCAATTGCATTTTTTTTTTTTTTGGTATGTATTTAGTACAACGTCTACTGGGTCTTACTACACAGATCAGACTTGTAATGATCCTTCCTGTTTTTCAGCTTCCCAAGCGCTGGGATTACAGGCACAACCCACCATGCCCAGTCTCAATCACCATCTCAGCACGCCCTGGGGGTAGGGCTGGCACAGCAGATGGGGGATTGAACTCCCTGCCCCTATGTCTACCTAAGCAGGCGCCTTAATCTACTGAGCTATCTGGCCTGCCCACCATTCATTTTTATTGATGTCATTATTCGTATGGGTCTCATATTTTCATGCTTGATAATTTAGAGATGAGTGGATAGTCCTCTTCATTTAGTGGAAGAAAAAGCTATCTTGGGTCTTGGGTGTGCATAGATCTTTTTGTTATTGTTACTTGTTTTTGTTTTGAGGCAGGATGTTTCTTTATTGCCCAAGCTGGCCTCCACCTCATGTTCCTCCTGCCTCAGCCTCCTGAAAGCTGGGATCCCAGGTGTGCACCGCCACCACACTAAGCTTCTTGATGCACATAAATTCTTTACTATGTTTTGGAGATTAAAAAAAAGGGCTACTTATTGATTTGGAAGAGATTTTTCCTCCTACATAGTGGATTCAACCATCCTAGGATTAACTCTTGCATTAATTTTACCTTGTGGTCTATTGTTCTTTTTGTGTCTAAGTTAGTGGCTTGGATGAGCTACTAGGGAACATCTCAGCTCTGTTCACTGCCTATGTCTTCTTACATCCTCTTACACAGATTGACTCACTGGGCACACAGAAGCTTAAGTCTAGAAGGCCTTGTATTTTGGTGGCCCAGTGGCACCGACAGAAGAGGGGTATTTCACCCACTCGTCAGTGGGCTGTCACATCTGAGACCACTTTGACAGCGACTACTTTCCTTTCATCCCAAAGACCAAGCCGTCTCATAGCTTGTGTCTTGGCTGAGGAGTAGGAGTGCCAGAGCTGGGTTCCTGGGGTGATTCGGCCTGTTCTCACAGCTGAAGCCTGACGCTCCCTGCCTCCTCCTTGGTCACTCACCCGTGACACCACTGCTGGATCCAGACCTGTGCTGCACATGTCTTCAAATCTGATGCTCAGTGTTCCTGGCTTTTTGTGTGTGTCCCGCTCAGCCTGCTCTGGGGCAGGGCTGGAACGGCATGTGGTGCTGAGGATCAAACCACAGTCCCTGCGCTTGCCTAAGCTTGTATAAGCAGGCGCTTTTGACCACTGAGCTATCCCGCCAGCCTAAAGAGGGCTCAGAGCTCAGATCATCCAGGTTGGATGATCTTTTTTTTAATTCCTGTTATTTTTGGAGGGTAGAAGTGAGCCAAATTTTTAAAAGGCCGTGTTGATAAAATTTTAAAGACATTTAAAAGATCTGAGTCCGTCCCCTTTACACATCAGAAAGTGAATGCTCTGGCACTTTTGCAGGTCAAATGGAGCTTTCGCAGAGCAGTGGCCCCTTGATGACACCACCCGTCTCCCCAGCCATGGCCAGCCGAGGAAGCGTCATTAACCAAGGGCCGATGGCAGAGAGGCCCCCAAGTGTGGGCGCTGTGCTCCCCGTCACCTCTCACTGTTCGGCGTACCCGGAGTGCATTTACCCTTCTCTGTCCCAGGCTACCCATGACTTCTACGGGGCCAACTCCAGCTACCAGACTGTGTTCAGGGCCCAGCCCCATGCCTCCTCAGGACTCCACCCCCGCGCAGAGCACGGCCGGTACATGGTGTGGACAGAGCAGCAGCTGTCCCGAGACTTCTTCAGCAGCAGCTGTGCTGGGTCTCCCTACAGTCCTCGGCCACCCTCCAGCTACGGGCTGTCCCCACATGGCCAGGAGTCACACAGCATGCAGTTTGTCAACACAGGAAGCTTCAACCTCTTGGGCAGTTCGGGGACTGCCAGCTGCCAGGGAGTGGCCCTGCCTTCTAATTCACCCAATGGTATGAGAGTCTAAAGAACCCTCTTGACTTTTGAGACGGCAAAAGGGCAAACTCAGACCCTAAGCTGTACCTCTGCCCAGGAAGGTGTCCCCAGATGAGGTTTCCAAAGATCATGGAATCTTGTATATTTGGGGCTGATTTCTCCTACCTGCAAACAGGTTTCCTAAGGCTTATGACAAATTTTCCCTTAAAAATGTCATACATGATAAAAGTCAAACAAAAGATCTGTGTCAGATCATACACTTGAGACCAATCTTAGGAGGTCCAGGAGTGTTCTTTCCTTTAAAAATATTTTTAGTGGAGCATGTCTCTTTTTGAGACCTATAAACAGATTTTAAAGAGTGGCACAAAGGCAGTGCCCCTTGTCAGGCCCGTGGGAGCTGGGTAGCACTGGAGCTGGAGGGGCCATAGGCTGAGCGCCCGGAGCAGGCCGGCCCCTGTGCTCTGAGGGCCTGTCCTTCTCCCACAAACAGGAACCTGAAAGTCCTGCAGGAGTTGAGAGGCAGTGTAATGCGAGGTGTCAGGAGTTTTTCTTTCTCTGTAGGCAGACTTTATTTATTCAGATAAGAAAAATACAACAGCTATGTGGTCTGGATCTCAAAATTAGTATGACAACTCCTTTTTAAAAGTACAAGAAGCACAGTAAACTATGACTATATATAAGCACCAATTCAACTCTATTAACCATAGATATAGATGGAATACCCACAGCTTGCTCTCTGTAGGCTCTCTGTGGTCACCCCACCCCGTTTCCTCTCCGGTGCGCTCTGTATCTTTCATGCGCATTCTGCACGTCTGTCGCCCTAGGGTACTATGGAGGCAGCCTCGGCTACCCCGAGCCTCACAGGCTGGGGTCCATGGTGAACCAGCACGTCTCCGTCATCAGCAGTGTGCGCTCTCTCTCTGCCTATGGCGACATCCATGACCCACTTAACCTCTTGGACGACAGCAGCAGGAAGCAGACCAGCTCCTTCTACTCAGACTCGTCCACTCCAGGTGCCTGTCGGACCCCAGCACTAGGTAAATTGTGCCTGTGGTTCTTAAAACCATTTGAAAAAGAAGACCTTAGATATGCAACCCTTGAAGGAATTCTGCAGCTCACAGTAGGTGTGCTGCTAGCACCTCACAAAGTGCCTGCGGTGCAGTAGGAGTTCAGTAAATCAGTGAGTGCAAGGAGTTGAAACTAAATCTAAAGCCAGGCACAGAAGTGCGCACCTGTACATCTGAGCTGAGGTGGGATGGTGGGAAGTTCACAGCTAACATGGTCTACATGGGGAATCCCTGTCTCAAAATAAGAATCGCTTTTTAAAATGGCTATGTATCTATCTCAATTGATTGCCAGACATGTGAGACTGTGGGTTCAATCCTTAATACAACATCTGTGCATATACGCGGTCTCTGATGATCAGTCAGGGTGTTATTACTAGCAACACAAAGCTTTAGGCTGAATCTATGAATAAATTTAGTTTCTAAAGTCATTAAGAAGGTATATTTATTAAGAGTCAAAGCCAAGAGTGAATGTTTCCAAGAGACGTTTGGAGTCCTTCCCTGGAATTGATTTTAGACCAGTGTAAGTACGGTATTGAGACTCAGCCAGGACACGCGGGCTGGGAGACGCCTTTCTCTCTGCTCACTGGGTGTACCTTTCCAGTAAGCAGCTGGGAGTGCTTGGCCCCTTCATGAGATCACAGGAGCTCCCCGCACAGCCCCAGAGCTCATCTCCCGCTATCTGCAAACATTCACTGCTTCTAGGTTACTCTAACGAAGCAGAAAATTCCACTTCAGGAGGCTCCTCAGCCTGAGACTATGATGTGCTAGGTTGCTGTTGTTACTATTAGCTCTGTTTACTTGTCAGATAATGGAAATTGATGGACACCAGCTGAGAGGAGGGAGGATTCTGAGCTTTGTAGAAGGAGAGAATCAGTAGGATCAGGAGAATCAGGGGCTTCCTTCACTTGCAGAGCCCATTTTCCAGGGACAGACAGTGGGAGGGCAGCCACCACACACTGGGGAAGCTGAGCTGACAGCCAGGAGTGGCACCGCTGTGCAAGCCCCTAGTCCAGGCAGAATGGTATGGGGCTGATAAGGCCACCACTCCTGAGGAAGCTTCCTTTGTTTAGGGAAGAGGAGGGCAAGGGTGCATCGTCAGGGAGGTTCCAGGTTCTCTGAGCTGACTGGGCAGTGTGAAGTGGTGGCCAGGGATGGAAACACTGCTCTGTGCAGGGTGGGTGGAGAGGGACCCTGGGCAGAGGTGCTTGGCTCAGCAGGTGTGCAGGGAACAGTGAGGTGGGCACCTGCCAATGGGGCTGAGGGTGCAGGAGACGCGGAGAGAGCTTCTGAATGGGAATAACTTTGGTAGTGTGTGGGGCAGAAGAAAGCCAGTATGGCTTGGACGTTTTGGGAAAGGAGACAGTGGAACAATGTGACTCACAAAGCAGAGCTCACTCTTGTGCAGCAAATAGTGTGAACATTTAGGACTTCCAGTGATGCACAACCCTCAGTGGCACATGTGCCGTAGGTTTGTGAGCAGTGGTGAGGGGTTCATAACCAAGGGAAAAGGAATTAGATTTGTTCCAGGTGTAGGAAGTCCCTGCAGAATTAGAAAAGTGTGAAGTCAGCTCAACTACAAGGTCACCCTGGGTGCTCCTTGCAGGATGAAGAGTGAGGCAAAGCTGAGAATAACCAGGCCAGTTAGGAAGGGGCTGTGTTGGTCCAGGTGAGAGAAGAGGATGGCGCACAGGAAGGAAGAGGCACCTGGCAGGATAGAGTTGTGATGGCAGAACTTACGATGATCAAGGACTAACTAATCAAGAGAGGGAAAGGAGATGAGCTAGGAAACATGACAATGTTAAGCCATGCAGTTATATGTAAAAGATGAGCAAGGCAATG